GTTGTTGTTGTCGTTGTTGTTCTTGCAAAGGTAAACCACAACTCCACAAAATCATAACATATACTCTTATAACACAACAACAACAACAACAACAACAAACCATCAATTCCGTTCTTGGGATCATGTAACAACTTAACTATCATCGTTACCTCATTTGACCCCTAATTTACTATTCATAACGATGGTTGAATAGATAAGTTTGGGTACGCTGGGCAGAGAAGGTCAGTGCCCGGCTTAGTGAGTGAGTGTGTGTGTCGGCCTGTGTACCTGACTGGGCCAATGGAGCTCCGTATATTAACAGGTAAATCATAGCGTTCGTCATCTGAATCCGTTTAGTGATCCAGAACCCGGATTCATTAAGGGGTTTTTGAAAGAATTATCCTCGTAATGTGTTAAGAATATATACCACACACACACACTACTGTGAGTTTGTTTAGCTCACTGACAAACTGAACCACTGATGAATCTGCTGCTTCAAACAATAGTCGTATAGGGGTGGTAGTGTGGTGGTGGTGATGGTGGTAGAGTAACAGTGTTGGTGGTGGTGGTGATGGTGGTAGAGTAACAGTGTTGGTGGTGGTGGTGATGGTGGAGTAACAGTGTTGGTGGTGGTGGTAGAGTAACAGTGTTGGTGGTGGTGGTTATGGTAACAGAGTAACAGTGTGGTGGTGGTGATGGTGGTAGAGTAACAGTGTTGGTGGTGGTGGGTGGTGGTAGAGTAACAGTGTTGGTGGTGGTGGTGATGGTGGTAAGAGTAACAGTGTTAGTGTGGTGGTGGTGGTAGAGTAAACAGCAGGTTGGTGGTGGTGGTGGTAGAGTAACAGGCAGTGGTGGTGGTAGAGTAACAGTGCTGGTGGTGGTGGTAGAGTAACAGGTGGTGGTAGTAACAGTGTTGTGGTGGTAGATTAACAGTGCTGGTGGTGGTAGAGTGGTGGTGGTAGTGTGGTGGTGGTGGTAGAGTAACAGTGTTGGTGGTGATGGTGGTAGAGCAGTGTGTGGTGTGGTAGAGTAACAGTGTTGGTGGTGGTGGTGGTGGTGGTGGGTAGATTAACAGTGTTGGTGGTGGTGGTGGTAGAGTAACAGTGTTGTGGTGGTGGTAGATTAACAGTGGTTAGTGGTGGTGGTAGAGTAACAGTGTTGGTGGTGGTGGTAGAGTAACAGTGTTGTGGTGGTAGGAGTGGTGGTGGTGGTAGAGTAACAGTGCAGGTGGTGGTGGTGGTGGTAGATTAACAGTGTTGGTGGTGGTGGAATAACAGTGTTGGTGGTGGTGGTGATGGTGGTAGAGTAACAGTGTTGGTGGTGGTGGTGGTGGTGGTGGTAGAGTAACAGTGTTGGTGGTGGTGTAGAGTGTGTGGTGGTGGTAGAGCAACAGTGTGGTGGTGGTGGTAGAGTAACAGTGTTGGTGGTGGTGTAGTGGTGGTGGTGGTGGTAGATAACAGTGTTGGTGTTGGTGTGTGGTGGTGGTGGTAGAGTAACAGTGTGGGGTGGTGGTAGAGTAACAGTGTTGGTGGTGGTGGTAGAGTAACATTGTTGTGGTGGTGAGTAACAGTGTTGGTGGTGGTGGTAGAGTAACAGTGTTGGTGGTGGTGGTAGAGTAACAGTGTTGGTGGTGGTGGTGATGGTGGTAGAGAACTATTGGTAGTAGTGGTGATGATGGCAGAGAAATAGTGAAGGTAGTAGTGGTGGCAGAGGAACATTTGGTGGCAGTGTTGGCACAGCCAGCAACACGAGAACACACTTATCTGGCCCAGTAAATTTGGGAACGTTTTTGATGTGTTGGTAAGGCGAAGAGCAGAAATGGCAGGCGATGGCATAGATGGCAGGTGATGGCAGGAGGCAGATGATGGTAAGAGGCGGGTGGTGGCGGGTGGTGGCGGATGGCGAGTGGCGGTGGCGGCGGGTGGCGGTGGGAACATCATAAAGACCAGGCCGCCAAGACACGCACTATCAGGCGTCACTAAATTACTGGAGGAGGTGGGGTGACCCTCCCTCCCTCCCTCCCTCCTGCTCTCCCTGTCTCCCTCCCTCTTACTCTTCCATCCTCCCTCCCTACCCCCCCCCTCTCTCTCTCTCCTTCTCCCCTTCTTTCCCTCCACTCCATCTCTCCCTTCTTAATTCCCTCTAACCCCCCCTCTTACTCCTCCATTCTCCCTCCCTCTTTCTCTTCCTCCTTCCCTCCCGCCCTCCCTCCCTTCCATTCAACCACCCTCCTTCCTTCCTCTGTCTCTCCCTTCACTAGATTACTTACTTACCTCCTACTCTCCCTCCCTATTTCTTCCTTCCTTCCTTCCTTTCCCTCTCACCCTCCCTCCCTTCTTCCCCATCTCTCTCTCACCCTCCCTCAGTTGATAGTGTTCCTCTATTTTTTATCTCCTCTCCCTCTCCTCTCCCTCTCTCTTCCTCTTCCCCCATCCTCTCCATCTCCTCCTCCTCCTCTTACCACCACAGTACTTCCACGTATCAATATTTATCTCTATAATTTCCTTAATAAACATTGCCCTTTGAATATCGCCAACCCCTTAAGTATCGCCAGTCAAGGAATAAGACACTACCCCATAGATATCGCCAGGTACAACGTAGGAGACTGTACTATGAATTTCACCAAGACACTACCCCATAGATATCGCCAGGTACAACGTAGGAGACTGTACTATGAATTTCACCAAGACACTACCCCATAGATATCGCCAGGTACAACGTAGGAGACTGTACTATGAATTTCACCAAGACACTATCCCATAGATATCGCCAGGTACAACGTAGGAGACTGTACTATGAATTTCACCAAGACACTACCCCATAGATATCGCCAGGTACAACGTAGGAGACTGTACTATGAATTTCACCAAGACACTACCCCATAGATATCGCCAGGTACAACGTAGGAGACTGTACTATGAATTTCACCAAGACACTACCCCAAAGATATCGCCAGGTACAACGTAGAGACTGTACTATGAATTTCACCAAGACACTACCCCCATAGATATCGCCAGGTACAACGTAGGAGACTGTACTATGAATTTCACCAAGACACTACCCCATAGATATCGCCAGGTACAACGTAGGAGACTGTACTATGAATTTCACCAAGACACTACCCCATAGATATCGCCAGGTACAACGTAGGAGACTTTACTATGAATTTCACCAAGACACTACCCCATAGATATCGCCAGGCACAACGTAGGAGACTGTACTATGAATTTCACCAAGACACTACCCCAGAGATATCGCCAGGTACAACGTAGGAGACTGTACTATGAATTTCACCAAGACACTACCCCATAGATATCGCCAGGTACAACGTAGGAGACTGTACTATGAATTTCACCAAGACACTACCCCATAGATATCGCCAGGTACAACGTAGGATACTGTACTATGAATTTCACCCATAGATATCTCCAGTTGATATATGACACTGCCCCTTAATTATCGCCAATTACGGTATAAGACTATAATAGATATTGCCAAATATTATAAATAAGAAACATTAACCCATAAATATCGCCAAATACGACCTAGTAAGAGACACTACCCCTTAAACATCGCCAGTATAGAGACGTTCCTCTTAGGGCTAACCAATAATTATAGTCTAACTTAAATGGGACCAAACTGTTTCAACACTTTGGTCCTCCATCTCTGGCGATAAATAGAGGGTAGACCATTAACGTCAAGGGCTAGCGATATATATTGGGCAGTGTGTTAAGCCTTAACGAGACTCGGGTACACGGAAGTGGGTCAGCAACGGTGAAATTAATCCTTTTAAAATAAATAACAATTAAACTAGTATTGTCTTAGCGTAGTTTAACCGCCATATTGGGTGTTGACTTTGAGGTGAGGTAATTTTTTTTTGTGTGTTAATTCAGAAAAAATTTGAGTGTTTTTGTGAGATGAATGTGATGATTATTTTTGCTTATCTATAGTTTTTGTTGTTTATCTTAATTGTTATTGTTTATTTTTATTGTTGTTTATTTTCGTTGTTGTTTTTCGTTATTTTTTACTCGTGTGTTTATCATTATTTATCATTATTTTTCCGTCTCTCAACATACAGTGGATCCTCTATTTAACGGACCAAATGGAGAGAAAATTCCGTTATATGAAAAGAGAAGAGAAGAGAGAAAGAGAGAGAGAGAGAGAGAGAGAGAGAGAGAGAGAGAGAGAGAGAGAGAGAGAGAGAGAGTAGTTTGGGAATTTTTTGATCCCTCACACTTATTGTTTTGTTATATTTGTTATCCGGATTCATAAGTAGCTTTAAGTATAAATGTTACTTAGATCTCTCCACTTAAAATAGTAAAAATAAGACACTTATAATTCTTCAGTAATGTTAAATAAAAATTCATCGATATCACTTCAATTCTTTAGTTAAATTCCTTCAGTGATTATCAGTTAAATTCTCAGTTAAATTTATTCAGTAATTTGTAAAAAAAAAAAATCACTAATTTCACAAGTAAGGAATAACCATTATATTTTTTTAATACTTCAATAATTAATAACAAATAAAATTCCTTCAATTATTTTTTAGTAATGAGAAACAAATAAAAAACTATTTTTTTTTCAATAAGATATATAATAAAAACTTAAATAAACTTAAAAAAAAATAATTATTCGAAGTCAATAAAAACCAAAAATTGTCTCGGATATATAATAAAATTTCCATCAGTTTTTTTAAGTAATTCATCAGGAAAACAAATAAAAACTTTAATTATTTTCAGTAAGATTTATAATAAAAACTTCTTTGTGGTTTTAAGTCAATAAAGTCAATAAAAGTCAATAAAGTCATTAAAAGTCAATAAAGTCAATAAAGTCAATAAAGTCATTAAAAGTCAATAAAGTCAATAAAGTCATTAAAAGTCAATAAAGTCAATAAAGTCAATAAAGTCATTAAAAGTCAATAAAGTCAATAAAGTCATTAAAAGTCAATAAAGTCATTAAAGTCAATAAAGTCAATAAACTGTATAATATTTTCTCAGTCAGGAATAAATAACAATACAAGATAAAATGGATGAGTTTGTTTGTATTAGCCTATGAGCCTTACAGTCTGCTATACATATACTACAGTAGAGCGATGTGCCTCCCTCACTACTGTAGGTCTGTCCTGTAGTGATGTAGTGGTGCCCCCTTCACTACTGTACTGTAGGTCCGTCCTGTAGTGATGAGCCTGTAGTGGTGCCCCCTTCACTACTGTACTGTAGGTTCCGTCCTGTAGTGGTGCCCCCCTCACTACTGTACTGTAGGTCCGTCCTGTAGTGGTGCCCCCCTCACTACTGTACTGTAGGTTCCGTCCTGTGGTGGTGAGCCTGTAGTGGTGATGTCTTCCTCATTACTGTAGGTCCCTCTTGTAGTGGTGTAGTAGTGGTGATGTAGTGGTGCTTCCTCCCTCACTAGATGATCATCCTATCCAGATACAGAATGACTGAAGCATTCTGAGTGGAAGAGTGATGTAGAGACTGGTGAGGTGGCTGTAGAGACTGGTGAGGTGGCTGTAGTGACTGGTGAGGTGGCTGTAGAGACTGGTGAGGTGGCTGTAGAGACTGGTGAGGTGGCTGTAGTGACTGGTGAGGTGGCTGTAGAAGTCCCCGCAGATGGTGGAGAGGTGATGGATGGCTCTGACAGGTGGTGGAGGTTCTTACAGATGGTAAAAGTTCTGACAGCTGGTAGATATAGGTCAGGTGGTGAGGCCAGGTGGTCAGGTCAGGTGGTACACTCCAATGACTGGCGATGCTGTTGACGGCTTGTGAAGGTTTTGTCTTCACAGTGTGGGTGTGATGTGTGACCTGTGGTGACCTCTTAGCGTGATCTGCAGGTCATGGAGGTCACCTAACACCCCTGTGATCTAACCATGAACGCCACTGCAGGCAGAAGGCTGGCGAACGTTAATTTGTCGTTTCAGCGTTGTGTCAGGAGTTTTATGTCACTTGCTGGTGAGGTTTGTCTTTGCTTCAAACTTCGACCAGTCTCTTCCCAGCTCACGTACCTCACACACACACACACACACACACACACACACATATCACCTGGAAACTCTCAGCTCACGAGGAACATTGACATTGACCAGGTGTTTGTTGACACTGACCAGGTGATGCAAGTATTGGCTCGCGGCCTTGTTACTCAGACAGCTCACCTGTCACCAGTCACCAGGAGGACCACGTGATCAGTATTTACCTTGATCAACAGTCACATCTGATCACCAGTTTTCTCCATAATTATGTTAATTGTGAGGGTCACATTTCATCATTTTCCTCCTGTCCGTCACCATTGGGGTGGAGAGTCACCAGTGGTATAGTCACCAGTGGTGTAGAGTCACCAGTGGTGTAGAGTCACCAGGTGTGTAGTGAATCAGCGAATCACTCCTCCAGGGTCGTGGTTCACCAGCAGACGCCCTCAGCCCTGAGGGAGCCGGGGCGTGACATCGACAACACTCTGGTCAGGTCCTGGTTGGCCTCCCCGGCGCTTCTTGTCGTGGTACACAGTGTGGCCGCTTCTACAGCAGACGTCGACGTCGGGGACACGAAGGGCGAGGTGGAGGAAGAGAGGGAAGAGGTGGCCGAAGTGATGGAGGAGGTGAGGGAGGTGCGGAGGGGGTTGCTGGCCTGGGCGAGGAGGGAGGAGGTGGATAAGGACGGAGGAGGGAAGGGACACACCGGCAGGAAGGGCAACAGTCCTGGGAACTGAGCGTGATGCAGCCCCAGGGGCAGAAGTGGTGGGGCGTGACACTCCAGACCCGGCAGCCTATCCCCCGGCAGGAGGTAGTCAGGTAGTCTGTGGGCGGGGGAGGTGATGGTGGTGTCTGTGCGGGTGAGGGCGGCCATGGGCGCCAGGCACCTCAGGGACTGTGAGAACGACCCTAAACTGGAGCCCAGGGGCGGCAGGGGACCGTCAAGACCCCGCTCCCGGATCATCTTCTTGGTCTTGTAGCGATGATTCTGGAACCATATCTTGATCTGCGTGGGCGTGAGGTCCAGCAGCGAGGCCAGGTGTTCCCTCTCAGGTGCCGACAGGTAACGCTGCTGGCGGAAACGTCGCTCAAGTTCATACGTCTGAGCTTTACTGAAGAGGATCCGTCGCTTCCTCTTACGCCCCGTGGCCTCCATGTCCTCCTCGGTACAGTCGTCCACCTCCAGAGCCTCCATGTCCTCGTCAGGAGGCGTGAGGGCCGCGGCCGCCTGTTCCGTGGAGTCCGCGGCGGCCTGGACGGTGCTCTGGGGGTCGTGGCCTCCAGGGGGGCTGCCAGGGCCCTCTGGCGGTGGGTCGTCCTCCACCACATCTGTCACGGGAAGAAGGAGGAGGTGTTAGTTCTCACCATCACCCGTCACCAACATCCATCATGCACCACACCATCACCCGTCACCAACATCCATCACCTATCACCCACAACACCCAACACCCGCCCCTCATCACTTATTACCCTACAGTAACTGCTAAATCATCCTATTTAATAGTTGGATGATCTGCATAATCGTTCTCACACTGACTCACAAATGTTTCCCAATACCATCGAGCGGCTGCCTCTGTTCTCTCCTCCTCCTCATCATCATCATCACGTACAGTACTCACATTTAGTTACATTAATAGCGGGATTACCTTAAGAGTTAACCCCCCCCCTCCCCCCACTGCTTATTTCACATGATAATCACTATAATTTCGGATAACTTTCCTTACAGACGCCGCTGAGGCCGCTAACACTACGAGCATATTATGATAAATTAGCCTCTCATCGCTACTCTTCGTGTACCAACACATAATTATGATAAGTAAATTCAAATACTTTTTTCTGCCGTTTCACACTTGTGTCATCAATATTAATTAAACTCTATTTTTTATTGGAGAAACATGTAGAATGATATACAAATATATAAGAGCTTATTTAATAGTCTTACGTGCTGGTATGCTAAGAGTAGCGGTGAGCAGCTAATTAATCATCATTTGCAAGTAGTGTTAGCGACCACAGCGTAAATGTAAACAAAGCAACACCAACCCACAGTACATCTTGTGACAATCAATTTTAGGCCGGGATAATGATGTTCAGAGGTCCGCCGTTCCTGCTAGACTCACGCATATATCAATGATGATTGGTTATAAATCAACAGATGAGGTTATAATAGCGGCTACCTCAACACAACACAGCTGGTGTAGACTCGTGGTGTAGCCAAGTTAACACCCAACCCTCTCGCCTACTGCTCACAAGAACACACAATTTATTCCTCTACTATACTCTACTAACACTTTACTCATTTATTTAGTAAATAAAAATAATATTTTCAATTCCTATATTAAGAAAATTACCGAAAATATCTATAATAACTTTGTGAAATATATACAGAAGCGGTAGAAGATTAATTAAAAATTATATTTCTTTTTTTGTGGGGGGGGGAGGAGGGGTTAATAACTCAATCTCTCAACTTTTCCCTTAACTAAATCATTCTAGAATTATTAGTAATATTATTCTACATTATTTTATATTTATTTTTTATGTATAAATGTATTATTTTTGTTATATCAACAACTGTGATATATAATGAAAGAAATTTTAATACTTTATAAATAAAACGTAGCTTGATATTAACAAGCATTATAACTATTACTATTGATTCTAACTATTACCGCTACTACCACCATTACCACGAACTACCACCATCACCACCAACAACAACAGCCACCACTACCACCACAACTATCCTCTCGTCTCCCTGAACACAGACGAGAGCAGCCATGAAGTCTCGTATGCAAATTAGGTGTTGATGGTGAGGCAAACAGATGCTATAACTAATCCGTTGCAATGGTGAGGCAGCTGCTGGGCACGTGGGGGGAGGGGGGTAGGGGTGGAAGGGGTGGTAGGGGGTTATGGAAGGGGTGGTAGGGAGGTGGTATAGGGGTTGGTGTGGTAGGGAGGTGGTATAGGGTTGGTGAAGGGTGGTAGGGGGGTAGGGGGTTATGGAAGGGGTGGTAGGGAGGTGGTAGAGAGTTAAAATACTAATAAAAACAAATATTTAAATAATTGTTTCAGAATTAACCAGAAATAACAACAATAACAACAACAACAATAACATTATCCAATATTCACAACCACAACATCAATAACCGGCATTAACCACAACTACAGCAAAATTAACCACTATTAACCACAACAACAATAACCTAATCTAACCACAGCAACAACATCAATAACCTAACCCAACCACAATAACCAACATTAACCACAACAACCACATCATTAACCACAACAACCACATCATTAACCACAACAACCAACATTATCCCACTGATGAATAACCAATATAATGGGTGTATCTGTACCTCATTGACCACGTTCAGTAGACAACCCACATTACCGCCCCCCACTGGCTAGCTGGAGAACATTATCAATTTAAATGACAAGGTTCAATCACCAACTCTTTACCCTAACTTTATTTCTTTATTTTCTTTCATTATTTTTGTTTTATTTTTGTCGCCAGGTTAATGAGTTTTACTAAAAAGGTTAATTTTATTTGGGTGTTTATTTATTTATTTATTTGTTTGTTTGTTTTCTCATTAAACGGGATTTTTATTTGTTTTCTCTAATTTTATTCTCAGGTCGTGGAACAATTTTCTTTTTTTTTTAATTTGTCTAAAATCTTTTGTTTTTGTTTCAATTACCGAAAGTTTTATTAAATTTTGTAAATAAAAAAAATACATAATTGTTTCTCAAGTTTCAACGTCTTCAATTATTTTTTCTTCAAAGTTCAACAAATTAAGAGGAAGGAAGAGTAAAGGGAGAGACAAAGTGAGGGTGAGGGAGAATGGTGAGAGAAGGAGGGTGAGGGGAGGGTGAGGGAGAATGGCGAGAGTAGGAGGGTGAGGGAGGGTGAGGGAAGGAGGGTGAGGGAGGGTGAGGAGAATGGCGAGAGAGGGTGAGGGAGAATGGTGAGGGAGAATGGTGACAGAAGGAGGGTGAGGGAGAATGGTGACAGGAGGGTGAGAGATGGGTGAGGGAAGGAGGGTGAGGGAATGGTGAGGAGAATGGTGACAGAAGGAGGGTGAGGGAGAATGGTGACAGGAGGGTGAGAGAGGGGTGAGGGGAAGGAGGGTGAGGGGAGGGTGAGGGAAGGAGGGTGAGGGGAGGGTGAGGGAAGGAGGGTGAGGAGAATGGTGAGAGAAAGGAGGGTGAGGGAGAATGGTGACAGAAGGAGGGGAGGGGAGGGTGAGGGAAGGAGGGTGAGGGGAGGTGAGGGAGAATGGTGAGAGAAGGAGGGTGAGGGAGAATGGTGACAGAAGGAGGGTGAGGGAGGGTGGGGAGGAGGGTGAGGGGGAGGGAGAATGGTGAGAGAAGGAGGGTGAGGGAGAATGGTGACAGGAGGGTGAGAGAAGGGTGAGGGAAGGAGGGTGGGGAGGGTGGGGAGGAGGGTGAGGGAGGGTGAGGGAAGGAGGGGTGAGGGAGAATGGTGAGAGAGAAGGAGGGTGAGGGAGAATGGTGACAGGAGGAGGGTGAGGGGGGGGTGAGGTGAAGGTAGGGGTGGGGAGGGGAGGAGGGAGGGAGAACGTGTATCGCTGTGTTTAACATTTATTGGTCGGGTTTAACAGAGCTCACTGATTGGTTTATATCAGTGGGGGGGAGGGGGTCGTTTATATAGAGGCTGTCGGGTTGTTTGACCCCCTGGGGAGTAGGTAAAGAGGGAGGGGTAGAGGTGGGTGTGAGGGGGAGGAGAAGTGTGGGAGGGTAGAGGAGGGTGGGAGAAAGAAGATGGGGAGGAGATAAGATGGAGGAAGAGAGAGAGAGAGACACTAACAAAAATAGTGGTAAAAAAGACCGCGAATTTATATTTGGCAAAAACAAGGACGAAACCTACAGTTGACATCCACCTACAGGTACAGAATCCCCCCACAGGCACAGAACCCCCACAGGTACAGAACACCCCCTCCTACAGGCACAGAACCCCCCTACAGGTACAGAACACCCCCTCCTACAGGCACAGAACCCCCCCTACAGGTACAGAGGCACAGAACACCCCCTCCTACAGGTACAGAACCCCCTCCTACAGGCACAGAACACCCCCCTCCTACAGGTACAGGTGTGGGTTTACCTGGGCAAGGTGTGGGGGCGTCGTGAAGCTGTAGAAGGTCTCTGACGGTGAAACCCCTGGTCGGTGCTGCCCGCTTCTCTTGCCCCTGTGGGAGACAAAATAGTGCTATACTGAGCGATGTTTATATACTATAGTGTTATAATTAAAGTAATTCTATATGTAACAGTATAATGAGATGTAATAATGATGATGATGATGATGATGATGATGATGATGATGATGATGATGATGATGATGATGATGATGATGATGATAATAATAATGATAATAATAATAATAATGATAATAATAATAATAATAATAATAATAATAATAATGATAATAATAATAATAATGATAATAATAATAATAATAATAATAATAATAATAATAATAATAATAATAATAATAATAATGATAATAATAATAATAATAATAATAATAATAATAATAATAATAAAGACTAACAGTCATACAGAGAACATTAATGTAAAGTTACGTAAGTGAAAGGAGTTATTATTATTATCAGTAGTAGTAGTAATAGGAGACGCCCTTCTGTTGTTAATTCATTATTATTTTATTTATAATCTTTTCTAATTAATTTAGTACCGGTATATTTAATTCTTATATCAATTTATTTAATTTACTTTGCTGTCTGTAGTTAATTATTTCCTTTATTGGTTTAATGTTTTATATAATTAATTTGAGTGTTGATGTAATGTGTTCTGGGGCATTATTATATTACTTTATTTTATGGGTATATTTAATTTATATTTAACTTTATAATAATTCGCGCTATATGGTATTGTTGATATATGTGATTCATATATTTTATTTATTTTAATTATATCGGTCTCATAGTTAATCGTAATTTCTGTTTATTATTGTATTAAATTTTTCTTTTTATTCTTTATTTTTGTTTTAATTTCAAGAATAATTTTATCATTTATTTTACAGAATTTAATTGATTATTTACCGCGATAAAAAAAATATCTCCAAATTTTAGTATTTTTGGCTGTTCCTAATTATTTTGACAATAATTAAACGCGAAATTATAGAGGTAATTATCGCTAACTTCCCAACGAGTTATAGAGAACATCTGGTCAATAATTCCCCTATAATGTGACCCGTTTAAGCGATAACTTACAAATAGACGCAACCGATAGTTGTAATAGCCTTTATAAATGGATCTAACTCTTATTATTTCCGTAACTTATGTAACTTAATAATAATAATAACAACAACACTACAACACTCAATCACAACACACAACACCATACACCTGAGGAGGGTGGCGGTGGAGTACCTGGCGTCACACACCTGAGGAAGGCGGCGCAGGTGGAGCTACTCCCCGCCGCCGCCGCCAGTGTTACCTGATACGTGATCCAGCCGTCGGGTGACTTGATACAGTGAAGCTTCTATTTAACGGACGACATAGAGATGAAAGTTCGTTATATCTAAGGTCCGTTAGATGTCACCCCATTTAACGGATTATATATACAGAGAGACGTCCGTTATGTAGAAGTTTCACTGTAGCTAAGTTCGTAAGTCTTAGTGATTCATAGTGAGGATTCGGTCGATTTAATGCTGATGTGAGATGTGAGAAGGTAACTGACTGATTCACTCAAGTTACGACACAAAGATTCAGTCGTCATTTTGTGCTCCTATAATACTATTGTTAAAATGTATGTAATTGACACACACACACACAGAGTAGATTTCACTTATGTTCATCTCCAAGTAAAGTTGGCTGTACCTGACTGTATGTTCCTGTAACCACACGTATGGGAATTACTGTACCTGCTGTAGCTCATACCTGTACGTGACCTACCGGTAATATTTCTCAGTAAAATCTCCCGGTTTAGACAGATGCTACAAAACTACAGATCTTTACGCACTACAGCCGTACAGTAACAATACAATGGTACGTATCACTAAAAGTTACAGAAAAGCGATACATGAGGCGGTACAGTCACTACAGTGGTACAGAAACGAAGGAATTTATGGTACAATTCATACGCACTACACAGCGGTACAGTTCAATACAAAGGTACACACGAATTAGTTGTGAATCAGATATGTACACCTATTACGAAGGTACACACACACACACACACACACACACACACGCGCGCGCATACATTACACCTTTATGAATGGGCAATCAAGCTTCTTATATGGTAATGGGATTAGATCTTATCCAATCACATTCTTTATAGGATTATTGGATTAGATAACTGACCAATCATGTTTTCTTATGTTACTGTCGATTAGATAATTAGCCAGTCAGGTCTATTATACGATTATTGGCTTCAAATGATTAGCTAATCCTCTTTTTTGCATAATGTTATTCGGATTGTGTCATTGGCTAATCAAGCGTTTTATATCCCAGGATTAGACGAGTGACACTGGCGTTTTTATACGATTATTGGATTAGAATATTGGCCAATCATACATAGATTACACTACACACACAATCATTTATTCCCCGCAGTTTTTGTTATGCGATCACTGGATTAGATCATTGGCCAATCAAATGTCTTCGTGCGTAAGTTACCACCCTATATACAAGATCAATGGATTAGAGTAATTGGCCAATCATACGCAAATTATTTACCTTTCAGTGTAGGTAAGGTCAGGTCAGGTCAGGTCAGGTTAGGTTTGGTTATATTTTGTCCGATATAGAATTAACTTTTGGTTTTGTCTGATTGACTTCTGTCCGAGTTAGAATTAACTGCGTGTATTATGTCCAATGGGGGGAAACGAATTGTCCAATGACGTCATTCACTACTGTAACGCAACACTAAATTATTAACTATCTGTACAATCATTAGGCACTTAACTACTGTATATTGTATGTAGTTTAGATCTTGGCATCTTAACGAGAGAGAGAGAGAGAGAGAGAGAGAGAGAGAGAGAGAGAACGCCACATCGTCTCTAAAATGTCTCCCTTGTAAGTGAGGGACCCGTAACCCATGTTCCTCCGCCCGCCATCTTCTCTCACCACTACACAAGCTTTTCACCTAAGTCAACAATATACAGTATTGTTAAACGAAACTTTTACTTGTACTAAACGACAGAAAGTTGTCTAATATTAACGTTTAAATGTAGACAAACACTGGGTCTTTATTCCTATTGTTTCTTCAGTAACTTTATAGTCACTAGGAGGCTATTAGTTATTAAGTCTAAATAATTAATTAATCGTCTGTGTGTTAACTACTATTTGGGAGTCATTATGAAGGATCACTATGTAATGCCGGGTATTAATTAACGAGAAATGGGTCTTGGTTATGTGGTGGTGTGTTGAGGCAGCGGCGGCCGGCGACTCTGAAGGAGTAATGAGGAGTCTACCGTAGATGAGGCAGAGTCAGGCGGTACTCACTGTTATCATGGTGGATGGATGACCGCTGGGTAAACCGTGGGGCGTCGTAGCACAAGTAGTCCCGGGGGAAATTATAGTATCCTAAGATCCGTGGAGACGAACAAGTAGCGGTGGTGCTGTGTTGCCTCCTAGCTGTCTGAACACACTCTCCCCCCTCGCCTCGCGCTATCGGCTTTAGGCGGCCCCGCCCCATTGGTTCTGAGCTAGTGGGAGGAGTCTTTCTAGTAGGCGGAGCAATAGGAAATCCCAGTATCTGATTGGCTGTTACAATCCCTTCGTGTCATTTATCCCAAGAGGGGAAGAGGAGTCGATGGGGATAAGTGGGTGCGCGAAGTACGGCTCCCCGGACCCTCACTCACCACCCCCATGGAAAACCAAAATGTTTTCCGCTAAATACACTTTACATCGATCCCTTTGGGGGCTCATTAAGAGGGCGTAAATCCTTTATAAATAGCGCACCTCAAATCCCCCCTCTCTCCCTTTACCTCCTACCCCTCCTCCCTCTCTTCCTTCTCCTTCTTCCCCAACTTATCTCTCACTTGTCCCTTCCTCCCTCCCCTTCCCCCCCACGACAGCTGTAGAGAGAAGGACTACGGGTATAAGAGGAGAATACCACCCCATCCCTCCACTTTCCCCTCTCTACCTCCACTTCACCACCTCCCCACCTCCACTTCACCACCTCCCCCCCTCCACTTCCCACCTCCACACCTCCACACCACCTGTGTATCATTAACCCCCGTGATCAAAATATATCACCTTCTACACTTACCTCTGAAGCGCCACACATCAATAAGCTTTTAAGAGTGACTGTGGGGGCCGCCTTCAGCCACTCCTGCAGCCACGTCAAAGGCTGTTACCTCTCTCTCAAACTATGAAGTTGTATAAAGTTATATAAAATTATTACATATTTTCGTTACTTTCACTCTTACAAAAAATACCACATATTTCACTATTTTCTAACAAACCCTTGTGTGTGTGTGTGTGTGTGTGTGTGTGTGTCTTACCAGTACAGTCCATATAGAACGCGGATATACAAACAATACCTCACTCGTTGGGAATCGGATCCTGGACCTCTGCGTGTGAACAGGGATCGCTACCACCTCCCCACAAGAGCAACACGTCCGTATGGTTCGATGGTAGTTATCCCTTTTCACACACAGAGTTCCAGGGCTCGATTCTTGACTAGTGAGGTACTGTTTTTATGTGTGTGTGTGTGTGTGTGTGTGTGTATAGTCCCTGACGGGGCGGGGTGGGTCCACCTGGCGCATCACTGGAGCTTACAGATAAACTCAATGACGATGATGATGATGATGATGGTGATGATGATGATGGTGATGATGGTGATGATGGTGATGATGGTGATGGAGAGAAGAGAACCGTTTACTCTGAAGATAAAAGACGGTGTAGGAGGAAGGTAAAGTTAGCGAGTGGGAGATAAGGTGAGAGACATGATAGCAGGTGAACTAAAACTACGATAATTATAACTAGTTCACTTAAGTAGCTGCCCACCAGTTGTTAAGTGGTATTAAAGTAATCTCTATATGGATTTAAGTAATGTTATGGGGATGACATTTAAGTAGGTTTTAAGTACAGTGTGAGGGGTGAGGTTTGGGAGGTAGAGAGAGAGAGGTCGCTGACATGGATTTTAAGGAGAGAGAGGTTGCTCCATCTAGGAATTAATTGGATTCGTTCCTGAAATCCATATGCGATAGATAGAGTGTCTGTTTGTCTATCTATCTATCTATCGGCGGTCAAGACGTCTAGTTGGCCCAGGTGTCAACAGATGGCACCACTCCCTTAGCCTCCCTCACCCGCGTAATCGACTCGTTACTATAATCCAAACGATCCCCCCAAACACGCCCGCGTCTCCATTGTAAACACGACCTCGTAATAGGCTAATGGGGACGCTAGTGATACGAGCAGAACAATGATGAGGAGGGGAGAGAGAGAGTGAGTGAGTGAGTGAGAGAAAGAGAGAGAGGGTGAGAGAGCGCTGGTGTTGGTCCAAGTGGTCACAAAATGGCTAACTCTCGCTGGCTTCCGCTCTGGACTGGACTGCGACCCTCCACCTCACCTCCGGATATCCTCATTGGCTCCTTTATCACTCTCTAACTCTACTTTATTTTTAATTTATGGAGTGTGCGGCACTTTACACGTCTGGAGAGGGAGACTTAGTTTGATATAAGAGTACGGTTATAGGAGACTCTCGTATATGGCTGACCTAGAAGTGAATCTAATACGTTATTCATTTGTTTTTTTTGTTTACATTCAGGCGTCTATAGTCTCCCTAACTTGGCCAAGTTAAACCTCTGGATGTTAGTAATCTTTATTTTCTAACACACACATACACACCACAAAGCACATGTTGGTGGTGATTGTGGTAGTAATTGAGGGAAGTGGTGGCTCATGCATAGTGGTTGTGGTAGCAGTGGTGGTAGTGGTGGATTGTGGTGGATAATGCTGGGAGTAGGAGTGGAAATGATGGTGGTAGACTGGTGGTAGTAGTGGTGTTAATAGTAATGGTAGATAGTGGTAGTGGTGAGTAGTATGGTGGCAGGTGGTGGTAGTGGTGGCAGGTGGTGGTAGTGGTGGCAGGTGGTGGTGGTAGGGTCGCGGTCCCTGAAGTTATTGATTTTGACCGACTGCAACTTTGTACAATAAAGATGCGCTGCTCACACCACTACCACCACTGACCACCACTACCACTATCTGCTCACAACACTACATGCCAACACCATCACTACCTCTCACCACCACCACAACCACCACTACTACTTGCGCACTATCATCTTTCTAGCTGTCTTAGTCCCTCTCCTCTTCCTTCCTCCTTCCTTCTCCTCCTCCTCCTTTCCTCACCCTCTTTCTACTTCCTTCTTCTCTTCCTTCCCTCTCCTCCTCCTCTTCTTCTCACCAAAACGCCTTAGAAATAAAACAAATAAGTAATATTAAGGCAAAAAATTAACGTGTGAACTTTTAATTGAGAAATACGATATCCAGGTTATGTTAAATGAGTTATCACACGATTACGAGGAAAAGAAATCACTTACAATTATTTAAAAACTTTGAGAATTAGAGCTGTAAGGGTCATTAAATACTTTTCTCATATCATCAGCTCGGGAAAAATACTCACTTACGATCTTTTGAGAATTCGAGACCCATGAGAGGTAAGACACGTTCTCGTAGCTATAGTTACGAGACATAATTCACTTACGGTGGTTTTAAGAATAAGATCGCTTCTGGGTCCCTGACATCGAAGCTTAAATATTTACCAGCGGACAACCCACACACTGTGCTCTGTCTCTGCGGTGGATCGATTTGTTTTAAAAGTCTTCGAGCACTGTCAGGAAGAGTCCCAGGCCTTGTGTTTCTTGTATCACCCTGACCTGACCTGACCTGACCTGACCTGACCTTACTTGACCTAACCTAACCTAACCTGACCTACCCTAACCTAACCAGATAAACAACCAAAGGATCGTAGTTTATGTTAGGTTAGACTAAGTTAGGTTTGGTCAGGTCACGTTAGGTTATACATCGAAAACCTTGGTATATACTCCACCATTTTTAACACGTAATAGTAATCTTCGCCATATCCACGGTAATCTAACCTAACCTAATCCCTGACCCACACACTGGGCAGGACAGCTTCTGGTAGAGTGCGAGTGTGTCTCTTCTTTTTTACGTGCACCTCTGGCCCCCTACGTGCACCTCTGGCCCCTACGTGCACCTCTGACCCCTACGTGTGCCTTTGCCCCCTACGTGCACCTCTGGCCCCCTATGTGCACCTCTGGCCCTATTACGCTCGTTCTCGAGATGTTTGGCGCCGTGGGTACAGGTGGAGCGCCAGACACTATACGGGTAGATGCAATGGTCTGAGGATCCTTTGGGGGAATGTGACATTTTTGGGGGCGGGCTGGGCTTTGTACCTTTTGTATTGTCTCTGTAAACACAAACATCAGGGGACTCTGTAAACACAAACATCAGGGGACTCTGTAAACACAAACATCAAGGGACTCTGTAAACACAAACATCAGGGGACTCTGTAAACACAAACATCAGGGGACTCTGTAAACACAAACATCAGGGGACTCTGTAAACACAAACATCAGGGGACTCTGTAAACACAAACATCAAGGGACTCTGTAAACACAAACATCAGGGACTCTGTAAACACAAACATCAGGGGACTCTGTAAACACAAACATCAGGGGACTCTGTAAACACAAACATCAGGGGACTCTGTAAACACAAACATCAGGGGACTCTGTAAACACAAACATCAGGGGACTCTGTAAACACAAACATCAGGGGACTCTGTAAACACAAACATCAGGGGACTCTGTAAACACAAACATCAAGGGACTCTGTAAACACAAACATCAGGGGACTCTGTAAACACAAACATCAAGGGACTCTGTAAACACAAACATCAACTCTGTAAATACAAACATCAAGGGACTCTGTAAACACAACATCATCTGTAAACACAAACATCAAGGGACTCTGTAAACACAAACATCAAGGGACTCTGTAAACACAAACATCAAGGGACTCTGTAAACACAAAACATCAAGGGACTAAACACAAACATCAAGGGACTCTGTAAACACAAACATCAAGGGACTCTGTAAACACAAACATCAAGGGACTCTGTAAACACAAACATCAAGGGACTCTGTAAACACAAACATCAAGGGACTAAACACACAAACATCAAGGGACTCTGTAAACACAAACATCAAGGGTAAACACAAACATCAAGGGACTCTGTAAACACAAACATCAAGGGACTCTGTAAACACAAACATCAAGGGACTCTGTAAACACAAACATCAAGGGACTCTGTAAACACAAACATCAAGGGACTCTGTAAACACAAACATCAAGGGACTCTGTAAACACACCACACATCTCACTATACAGGAGACGCGACAAGAAGTAAATATGTATACCACGAAATGGCGTCTGTATCAAGAGTTAAATTCACTTGATTTTCGTATTTTCTTCCTCGATTTAAACGTTTCGTAAAATCATTTGGAGGTAAAACGTAAAAAAAAAAGAACGTACAGTGAGGTAAAAGAGAACTCCTCCCCCCTTCCTTCTCCCGAGACCACAAACTCAACCCTGTCTTGGTGTTTCGTCGCCGATTT